TCAATGTGTCTAACAACAATTCTGCCCAAACTCTGCATAAGAGGTATAGAACTCCCTTCACCATAATCCACTGAGCAGATCATTTACCAGCTCCACTTTTTTTCATGGAGATAGCACTCCCGAAGCCTCCATACCTTTCATGGACTGAATTGGGTCTCCCCCAAATTCATACGTTGAAGTCCTAACCCCCAGTACCTCAGAATATGACTATATTTAAAGGTAGGGCCTTTAAAGAGGTATTAATAAAGGTTAAATGAGATCATTGACCTCATTAATGAGGTCCTAAGGGTGGGCCCTAATCCGATATGATTGGTGTCCTTTTCAGAAGAGATACACAGATTGGCACAGAAGGAAGACCATGTGAAGACACAGAAGATGACCACCTACGAGCCAAGGACAGAAGCCTCAGAAAAAATCAAAATTGTGTCAACACTTTGATCTCAGACTTGTAGCCTCTACAACTGTAAGACAATAAATTTCTCTTGTTTAAGCCATCCAGTTAGTGGTATTTGTTATGGCAGCCCCAGCAAACTCATACAATACCTGGATGGTGGTTTACATGCTAAATGGTGGGACCTCACGCCTCCTTTTCCCATTTGAGTCCCAGAATGCTGCAACCAGGCTTAAATTGCCCAAGTATGATCCTTCTCTGAGAAGAGTGACTGGACAGAAGAAAAGACTTCCAGATACTGACATGGGAAAAGGGAAAGGACTGTTTCCTAATGAAAAACCTGAGTCACCATCAGGTAATCCCTGCCTTATCCTCATCTGGTGTCCCCAGGTTTGTAATCTCTCTATTGAATATCTTCAAGGTGAACCTCTCTTTCTCTATTCTCTTGCTAGGGTGGGAAGCGGTAATCAGTTAATGCCTATGCTGGGAAGAGAATCTAGGACTCCAACAGCTTTTTTTTTTTTGAGAGAGGGTCTCATTTTGTCACCCAGGATGGAGGGATGGAGTGCAGTGGCCTCATCATAGCTCACTGCAACCTTGAACTCCTGTGCTCAAGCAATCCTCCTGCCCCAGCCTCCTGAGTAGCTGGGACTACAAGTACATGCCACAACACCCGGCTAATTTTTCCATGTTTTGTAGAGACAAGGTCCCACTATGTTGCTCAGGCTGGTCTCAAACTCCTAGCTTCAAGAGATCCTCCTGCCTTGTCCTCCCAAAGTGCTAGGATTACAGACATGAGCCTCCATGCCCGGCCAATAATGCTTTACAGGAAGGGATACTAGGAGGGAAGGCAGAAGGCTGACCCTAGGATCTTTATAGATATAGCCTCAAACTTATTGACCATAAAAAAAACACAAGGACTACACCTCAGCAGGAAGACAGTGTGCTCAGTGAGGACAAGGGTCAGGCCCTGATCACATCTCCACTCTACACTGGTAAGGTCTCAATAAATGTTTACTGAACCATATAAGCCTAACACAGTGTATATTTTTAACAATAACATTTTATATACTTTATTCTTAGTAACAGCCATAATTTTTTAGATCCCTAAAGTTCTCTTAATATATCTAGAAAGAATGACAGATTTTACAGCGGTTGTTTTAAACAAAAGGCAAATTATTATTATTATCTGCCTCTTACCTCTCATGGCTTTGCCTCTTCTCTCCACCAAATAAATATATATAATAATTTGATGTTCCTGAATTTTATCTTTCAAAGCATACTGAATCTACAGACATTTTACATAAGGAACAAATTCATTATTCCAGTATTTCTCAAACTGAGAGTCTGCAAACATTCTTGAGTGTCCAAGAATTACCTCAGAATTTCTTAATATTTTCATATAATTATGAAATTATAGAGAACCCCCTTATAATCAAGTGCTACCAAGATTTTAAAAGCCA